CTCCCATTTTTACCCCATATACAGATTGCAGAATCACATCGGTTACACATCCACGTTTTTACATATTGCCATACTAGTGACTGTTGTATTCTGCTACCATGGAAATGGAAGGAGACCCTCATTGTTATACAAAATTACATATAAGAGGATGTGAGGGGAAAGGGAAAAAAAGAAAAAAAAAAGGGAGAGAGACAGAGAGAGGGAGAGAGGGAGGAGGGAGGGAGGCTGGCTGCGCGTGTGCCTGTGGGTGTGTGTGCGACACATTCCAGGTGCACAGGGTGATGCACAGGAAGAACTGGGCAAAGTGACCAGCTGTGTGTGGCTCTGACCTTGCTACGAACACCTCACAAGGGCCTGGGTGGATGGGCGCAGGCCGGACGGGCCCTGGCAGCTGGGGCTCCCCCTGGGCCTGGAGCCCTGGAGGGCTGCGCGTCCCCATCCCCTGCCTCCAGGGGCGGAGGCGGCCGCCGGCCCTGCCCACCTCTCCCGCAGGAGCCACACCCAGACGCCCAGTACCTTCTAGACGGAAGTCCTCCTCCTCCTCCTCCTCGCTGAGCGCGTCTCTGAGCACCTCGCCCACGAGCTCCTGGGGAGACAAAGGCCGGGGCGTTAGGGAGGTGGGGGGCCGGCAGGAGCCCCCGGGGCTGGGCTGGTCTCTGACGGGAGAGAGGAGGAAGCCAGGAGACCCTACCCAGGACCCTCAGAAGGGAAGTCCCCTCCCCAGCTGCCAGGGCCAGGCAAGTGTCCCCCACCCCACCAAGGCGGCCCCCCCCCCGCGGGACACAGGACGAGACCTCACTCTGGATCCTTCCTCCGCAACGGTCAAGGCCCCGGGGGGTCTGAACAGCCCTGGGCCCGGCGTGCTCTACAGGGGACCCCTGCCACCCCTCCCCCGTCCTGCACCCAAAGCCAACACCCGGCCCCCAGGTTCCACCGACCCCCACCTTCCCACTGCTAGCCTGGCCCGGGCACCACCCCGTCTGGTCTGGTGCCCACATGGAGGGCTCCCCCCGGCCAGCCTCACCGGGCGGCCACTCAGGTGTTCTCAGGCTGGCCAGGGGAGTTTGCCTGGTCCACAGGCTGGGAAACGTCCAGGATGTCCACAGACTCAGGCCCTGTCCCTCTATCTGCCCACCGCAGCAGGATGACTGGAGATATGGAGAAGTGAGGCCAGGGCCGGTCAAACCGGCCTCTGTGTTCACTGGCCTTCTGCCAAGAGGAGTCCTGCCACCAAAGCAGACTGCGTCAGACAGACTTCCGTGAGGCCCCTTGCTGCAGGACTTATCAGGGCCTTGGCTGTGCTTCTCGCACCGGGAGCCTCCGTGTGCAGATGTGTACTGCCGGCTCCCAGCCCATGCAGACCGCGAGGTTTTGCCTTTCAAAGGCATCATGTGAGCCAGGCACCGTGGCACACGCCTGTCATCCCAGTGGCTCGAGAGGCTGAGGCAGGAGGATCGTGAGTTCAAAGCCAGCCTCAGCAATGGCGAGGTACAAAGCCACTCAGGGAGACCCTGTCTCTAAATAAAGTACAAAACAGGCTGGGGACGTGGCTCAGTGGTCGGGTGCCCCTGAGTTCCATCACTGGTACCCCCGCCCCCCAAAAAAGCATCCTATGAGAGTCAGATACCCAGGAATGCTCTGTGGGGAGCAGTCCTCTCGGGGGACAGACGGGGCTGGAGGTGTCCTGCCCCCTCTCTCCCGTCCCCAGCGATGCCCTGGCAGGGCTTCCTGAACCCACAAAACGACGAGCAATCAAAAGGCCCAGGCAGCAGCTGTCACCAGCTTCTCTTTGCGAAAAGAAAAAAGAGAAAGGAAGAAACCCTCTCTGTGGGGGACCCGCACCTCTGAGGCCCAGGGGAAGCTTCGCGCCCGCCTCACGCACAGGGCCGCAGCGCGGTGCCCGTCGGGCCACAGCTGGCCGCCAGATGCTCGCTTCCCACCGCTTTGTTTCCAAGGCCAGCAGCTCCCACTTGGTGGCGGGGGACGGTCTCCTTTCCAACATTCCAGGGCGTCCCGCGCCCCTCAAGGGCTGCTCCAGGTGGCCACTCGGGCTCCGGGTGCCCCGTGGACTTCAGAACCAGGCGACTTCCTTCCCCCAGTCCTGGCCGGCCCCCTCTCCTCCTCGCTGTCACGACACTCCTCACCCCCTCTCCCGGGCTGGGAGACGGGGCTGAGGGCCAGTGACAGGACAGGGCGCACACAGGGGGCCCCGCCAGATGGCCAGGGCACCCCAGCAGCCAGCCAACGCCTGCCTCTCGCTGCCGCCTCCCCAGGGGGCCCGCGGGCAGCGCCTCTTACAGGGCAGGTGACCATCCTCCAGGGCAAGCACAGACCCGTCGCGCTGAGGTCCTCCGCAGACAGGGGCTCGGCGCTGACCTCGCACTGCCCTCCCACACCACCGCAGAGCCGCCAGTGCCCTGGACCTTGACTGGCCCCCTCCGAGGGCCACCCCAAACAAGGCACCAGCGGGGCCCCTGTGTCGACCCCTGCCCGCAGGCTACACAGCAGCCCGCCCCTGAGGCCAGGCCTCCGCGCTCTCCGTGGGGAAGCAGAGCAAGTCCGGAGGCCACCCTCACCCCTGAACTGCACCGGGCTCTGCAGGACACCGTGAGCCCACAGACAGCAGGAAGCCCTCTCCATGCTGAGACGCGGGGACGAGCCGGGGCCTGTGGTCTCCACCAGACCCAGAGGCCACCTGCGCTGCAGAGCCAGCTCCGGACCCTCAGGATCCTGGGGCCCCACGGCCTCCTGTGCACCTGGACCTCAGTCTACTGGCCTATGAAATGGGCACCCGAGAAGAGTCACACCACAGCCAAACAGCGGGCGCTCACCGCGCGTCTCCATGCCGAGCACCTGCTGTATTCCACGGGCTCCTCTGGCCACCGCCGCAGCCCACTCTCCCTGCCTCTCAGAGCGAGCGACTGGCGGGTTGTAAAGCGAGCGCTGTGATCATTACCAGGGCCAGGAGGCCAGACGGGGCTCTGACGACATTCACGCTGCCCGACTGGGTGGGGCACGGGGACAGACGGGCTCAGGCCCTCAGGGACAGCCAGAGAAAAGCACTCCGACTACCCCGGGCCTGATGAGGGGAGACTCCCTCCCCGGGCCGTGAGCAGGTGCCATGGGAGCTGGCCTCAGGGGGCATGCAGCAGGAGCTGGCCAGACCCTGTGCAAACGCCAGCTCTGTCCCCCGCCAGCCAGGCTGCCCAGTGAAGGGACTCTACTCCCTTCCCACTCGTGGGTCTTGGGGTGGCGGGAAGAAGTCAGGAGGTCCCACGGGCATGCGCTCAGCCAGCGCCTATGCCGTGGGTGGGACAGAGCCATGCCAGGGTCACCTCCTCTTCCTCTGTTGTTCCCCAATGGCTGAGCAAAGCTGAGAGACTCACAGGTGCCCAGGCAGCTCACGGTGCCCCCCTGCCTGGCACGCTGCTGGCTGTGCTTTGTATTTAACACTCGTGGCGATCACTGAGGCCTTCCAGAGGACTGCCATTATCAAGCTCACTTTATAGAGATCAAACAGGCACAGAGAGGTTAAGTGACTTTCCCAAGGTCCCACAGCTAGCAATACCCTTCACTGCTGCATTCATGTACGAGAAGCCTGGAGGGGACCCTTACCGTGCCGTGACTGCCCCTGATTTACCCACTCACTGTCACTCGGGCCCCCAGGCCACAGGCCTCCTTCTCTTGGGTCTCTGGGACTGTCAGCCTCAGCCTCTGCTCCAGGTTCGGATGAAAAGCCTCCCTGGATGCCCAGGATTCCTGCCCAGGGGCCTGGCTTGGTGGCCTCTCTGGCCACAGTGTAGACACGCCTCCCCTCTGAGTCCCAGCACTGTCCCTTCTGCTGGCCCCCGGAGCCCGAGCTCTGCCCCATGCTGGGCCCCAGGAAGAGGCCAGCTCCTCTGGGCACTGGGTGTGCGGCCAGCACCAGCCCAGGCCCAGAATCGCAGGCGCAACGCCTTATAAGGCTCCGGGGACGGGAAACCACATCAAAGCGGGGCCGGGGAGGGCTGGGGTTGGTGGGGTTCTGCTTTGTCTCCGAGGCCTCCTTCCCGGCCCTCGGTCCCCACCCTGCCCCAGCAGGCCCGCGTCAATCTTCCCGCTCCCTAAGCGCTAACAGATGTCGGTGCCCCTGGAACACGGCAGGGCGGGGACCCGCCAGCAGGACGCAGGCC